CTAGCTTACTTTTGAGATTCAAAGCAAACATGATCTACTTCTCATTATATTTACTTTCATAAGCATAAAGTACTTTGGTTACCTTACCAAAACCAGATTCTAACCCTTTCCTGTTCAAAACCCTTTTCCTGTATAGATTGACTATCTCTTATTCAAAATGCTTAGGGCTGGATGCAGTAGCTCACGCCTGGAATCCCAGCACTTTGGGAGATCAGGGCAGGAGGATTAATTGAGCCCAGAAGATTAAGACCAATCTGGGCAACATAGCAAGACTCTGTCTCTAAAAACACATTTTTTTTTTTTTTAAATTTCTCAGGCATGGTGGCGCATGCCTATGGTCCCAGCTTCTCAAGGGACTGAGATGGGAGGATCACTCAAGCCCAGCCAAGGCTTCAGTAAGCCATGATGACACTACTACATTTCAGCCTGGGTGACAGAATAAGACCCTGTCTCAAAAAAAAAGAAAAGAGCTTGGGACCAGAAGTGTTTCAGTTTGAATTTTGTTGGATTTTGAAATATTGATATTATACTTATCACTTGAGCATTCTGAAGTTAAAAATCCAAAATCTGAAATGCCCCAATGTTATGTTTGCTTTGAATATCAAAAGTAAGCTAGTATGGTAATTTCAGGCACTAGAGATAGACATGGATGCCATCTTTGTCTTTACCATAGCTCTAATTTCACAGTCTTTTTTTTTTTTTTGAAATGGAGTGTCTCCCAGGCTGGAGTGCAGTGATGAGACCTTGGCTCACTGCAACCTCTTCCTCCTGGGTTCAAGCAATTCTCTTGCCTCAGCCTCCCTAGTAGCTGGGATTACAGGTGTCTGCCACCACAGTTGGCTTTTTGTATTTTTACAAAATGGCCACCATGTTGGCCAGGGTGGTCTAGAACTCCTGACCTCAAGTGATCTGCCTGCCTTGGCCTCCTAAAGTACTGGGATTACTGGCATGAGCCACTGTAATCATGTCAGCACTCAAAGTCTCAGATTTTGGATTTCAGATTTTCGAATTAGAGGTACTCAACTTGTACTTACAGTAGAACTTTATTTTTTTATTTTTTATTGAATTTTAAGTTTTGGGGTACATGTGCAGAACATGCAAGATAGCTGCATAGGTACACACATGGCAGTATGTTTTGCTACCTTCCTCCCCTTCACCCACATTTGGCATTTCTCCCCAGGCTATCCCTCCCCAGCTCCCCGCTTCCGCTGTCCCTCCCCTATTCCCAATAGACCCCAGTGTGTAGTACTCCCTTCCCTGTGTCCATGTGTTCTCATTTTTCATCACCCGCCTATGAGTGAGAATATGCGGTAATCAAAAATGATGAGTTCGTGTCCTTTGTAGGGACATGGATGAATCTGGAGAACATCATTCTCAGCAAACTGACACAAGAACAGAAAATAAATACTGCATATACAATAGTATTTTAAATGTCCATAAAACAGTCTCTAAGGATTTGGCTCTCACCTGACCATCATCATCTTCTCACATCATTTTCCTTCTCACTCAGAACCCTTAAAATTAACATAGCTTTCTTCAAGTCTACAAAATGTTAAAGATATTGGCCCCCTCAGGGTATCATATATGATGTTCTTTCTTCCTAAAATTTTCGTTTTCTTTCCCCTACTCTTCATCTATTTGTCTTTCAGGTCAACTTAAGTATCATGTTAGCAAACATAACTTCCATGAGCCTCTCCTCCCCCAATTTAAGTTAGGTCCCACGGCAATTTTCCACACCTTATGTATTTAAGGTTACATGTTTGTCTATCTCCTTCTCTAGAGCAAGTCAGGGCACTGAATTTGTCTTTTTGTTTCCTCAGTATACATCCAGCACCTAGCACAGCGAACAGTGGTGTACAGTAAGTACCCAAATGTGAGCAAATACTGAATAAATCAATCAATGAAAAGGAAGAAGAGTAGGTTTGAGGAGAGAAAGGTTTCAGGTTTGGATCTTTAAATCCAAAGTGTCTATACAATATCCAAGAGGAAATGTTAAGCAGATATACATAATTATCTGGATTTCAGGAGAAAGACATGGGACAGGGGGATTGATATGGGAGTAAACAAGTATACGGTAACTGAAGTTATTCACAGGAATGAGAATATAAAGAAAGAATAAATTTTACAACAGAAAAAAAGAAAAGCCAAGATTAAAAAAGAACAATCGAATTCATAGCAGGAAAATAAGAAGCAGTCAAACCACAGTGTACGATACTACGGCAAAGGTGATTTCAAACAGTTACAAAGTGCTGAATATACTGGGCACGGTGCTCATGCCTGAAAGCCAAAGCTTTGGGCGGCCAAGGTGGGAGTCACTTGGGCCCCGGAGTTTGAAGCTGCAGTGAGCTATGAATGCGCCACTGCACTCCAGCCTGGGCAACAAAGTGAGACACTGTCTTAAAAAAAAAAAGTTCCACATGCTACAAAAAGATAAGGCTCAATAAGTAAAAGGAAAAATAGCAGGGTCCTATGGAAAAGAAAGAAGTAGAATCTGTCCAGTCAAGGTGTGGTGGGAACAGTGCAATAAGGAAGGAAGCTCATCTGATTGAAGGCTGACATCACATATGACTAATTCTCCCAACCATTGAACCTATCTAAGTATCATATTGTATGTCTATGTTTGTGCATATGTGCATGAACTATATAGACAAGTTCCATTTAAAACAGCACTTGATTTATAAGTGTTCTGAGCACGTTTAAGGTAGGCTAGGCTAAGCTATGATATTCAGGTTAGGTGGATTAAATGTATTTTCAGCTTACAGTACTTTCAACTTACAATGGCTTTACCAGGAGGTAACCCCAATGTTAAGTCCAAGAGCGTCTATATATTGAATAAGATGTTTTTAAAAAGAAATATACATAAAACAAGTTATATACTAAGAGGCTGACAAAAATGTTATAACGGGAGGCTCACAGGAACTTAACCCTGAATTTCCCTAGAAGTTCAGTATTCACTAATTTGGTGTTCACAGTGCCTTTAGACAACTACCCCAAACTAGAATAAACTGTACCCTTTATACGTGTAAAATTAACACAACAGGGCAATAGAGTTCATTCATCAGAATAAGTTACCACTTCCCAACATGCAGTATTATTGCATGAGAGTACTCAATAAATAAGCGTCAAACAGTTCAGAATACTAAGTGTTAAAGTTCCATGGAAAAGAGTCCTGTAGTTCCATATTCTTCCCCAGCCAGGAGGATAAACCTGTCTTTTGCCATAATTTGGAGCACATGAAGGCAGGCATCAGAAGCCGAAATACAAAGGTTCGAGAGTTAGAGAAGGAAAATGTGAGTTCAAAATTGGCAGCAAAGGCAAGGTTTCACTGAATGCAAGAAATCAGAAGATTGAGCCTGTGTCCCATTGGGAGTTCACATAAAGGGTCTAGGAACAGGTTTACAACCAGTGAACAGGGAAGGCAGATCTTAAGAAATTGCTAAAACTTTAATTAGCCACTGTGCTCACACATTTAAATTTCAGGGGTAGCATCAACCTTTTTCATGCTTTCTCACTCTGAAAAATTATTTTATCCAATTGTGATGGTTAATTTTGTGTCAACTTGGCTAGGCTACAGTTCCCAGGTATTCGGTCAAATACTATTTTAGGTGTTTCTGTGAAGATTTTAAGAGATCAACATTTAAAAAGGTAGACCTTGAGTAAAGAAGATAGCCCTCCAAAGTGTAGGTGGACCTCATCAAATCAGTTGGAGGCTTTAAAGACTGGCCTTACCAAAAAGGGAATTTTGACAGAACACTGTCCTCAGACTGGAACTCCAACTCCTCCCTGTGTCTCCCTCCTGCCAGGCTATCCTGCAGATTTTTGACCTGCCAGCTTCCACAACCCCGAGCTAATTCCTTAAAATAAACCAATCTCTCTCTCTATATATATATAAATGTGTATATATACACATTCTATTTTTTCTGTTTCTATGGAGAATGAACATCAATATAAATTTTGAGATAGAAATATAAAATTACTAAAGAAAACATAAGTCCTCTAAGACCTATGAGCCAAACAAGGGAGGAGTCTATTTTGGGTATACTGACCTCACAAGATATCTGGCACATCACAGGAATGCAGTATTTGTTGAACGAATGAATACTAGCAAACTTGTAAGTCCTCGAACAATAACTTCTATTTATTGACTACTCTGTTTCAGGTACTATGTTGGGAGGTGCTTTATCTTTCTTTGTTCGATGTTTTATTTCCATCACATCCCTTCAAGACAGCAATTTTCAGTCTCCACTACAAAGACAAGGAAATCAAGGCTCAGAGTGGAACTATGCTGTCCATGATAACAGAATAAACGACAGCTAAGACAGAAAGTTCAAAAATGTGTATGTCTTCCAACCTCACAGACGACTAAGATAATAAAATCATTAAAATAGGAGATGTACTCAATCTTCAAATTGTGAAGTGTAGTCATTTAAAGAGGCAGCGATAAAATAAGAAAAGATTGTACTCCTCACAGCAAATGGTGAAGTGTGGCATAGCAGTACTAACAGAACATAAAAACCATTTAGCTAAACTCATATTACCTCACAGCTGCACACCTAACCTTTTAAGGGTGATGTCACCAGATACATTCACTCCCTTACAGTAATACTTAAACGTCACTCCCTGAGTCACTAGGTCTGACCTTTCACAGCAGTTCTCAGTAAATTTTCTTTTCTTTTTTTGAGATGGAGTTTCGCTCTTGTTGCCCAGGCTGGAGTGCAATATGATTTTGGCTCACCACAACTTCCACTTACCGGGTTCAAGTGATTCTCCTGCCTCAAACTCCCGAGTAGCTGGGATCACAGGCGTGGCTTATTTTGTATTTTTAGTAGAGACAGGATTTCTCCATGTTGGTCAGGCTGGTCTTGAACTCCCGTCCTCAGGTGATCCGCCAGCTCAGCCTCCCAAAGTACGGGGATTACAGGTGTGAGCCACCGTGCCCAGTGGTTCTTGGTAAATTTTCATCAGCTTCCACGATGTTTGGAAAATAATTTGCACACATATTACCAAGAACGAGTGTTTCGTTTTATTTAACGTTTAAGCAGAACATTTTTGACTATACATCTATGTAATGCACACTACTAAAAAAGTGCAAAATATTCAACATAAACATAAGGAAAGTGAATACTACAATGGTTGCATCAACCCAACTAGGTAATTTTGCTCGGTTAAAGACACAGCTTTTTCTGAAAGTTTTTTGGACGTTAACAGCTGCTCAACGTCTTCTTCCATCTACTGCTTTCTGAAATTCTTGATATTGCCTAGCACGTACAGAGCTGGTGTTAAGAAGGTCGTAAAAAGCAACACAAGTCCAACAGCCATTTCCTGGAAGAGAAGATGACATGTGCTGTTGAGAATGGCTTCCTGAATCAGTGAGTTGCTGCCTAATAAAAACTGCTTAAAAAACATTTTGAGCATCTAGACCATTGTCCTAGAAACAGGGGCCTGGTTAAATCTAAAATGCAGATATTCAATTCATGGATCACCTGTTTTGTTTTTTTTTAATCATTTTTCTAACGGTTCTCCAGTTCCGATCTTCACACTCTGGAACTTCGATTCGGCCCAGGATTTCCACCATTTTATCGAAAATGCTAGGTCTTGGCAGTGCTGAGGATGTCCGAGGATGGTAAACCATTCCTCTTAGAAACCACAGCTCCTCTCCCCCTAGCCATGTGCCAGGATATGATAACAACGTAGGAGACCCAACCCCCGCGCGCTCCCCAGGGTCCAGGGCCTTCCAACCCTGCGCCCAACGACGGCGTCCTCAACGCGACCCTTCCCCAGGAACTTCCTCCGACGGCTGCCAAGCCACAGGCGCCTCCCACGCGAGCCCCGCACACCGTGTCCCTCCTTTCCCCACCAGTCGGGGCGGTCCGCCTGGGCCACGCCCTTCCCGCCCGCCCCGGCCGCGCCGCCATGATGGGTGGGCCTCAACTCACCACGGCAGACACTGGCCGTTGGCGCGGGGGCTCCGAGTGGGCAAAGCGGAGAGCAGGCTGCAGGGCAAGCAGGGCCACGCGGCGGTAGTGGCGGCAGACAGGACAGAGCCTGGGCAGGAGAGGCATAGCGCGTCAGATGAGATAAAGCCTGGCGTGACCAGCGGGTCAGCACAGTTGAGGTGAAGCCAAGTGGTACAAGCTCCCGGTCTGGTGAGGCAGCTGGTTTGCGCAGGCGCCCCAGCCACAAGGAGGCGCTCTGCCCGCGCCCCTGCCACGCCCCTTCTGCTCAGCACCCCTTGCTCTGCACTGCTCTTTCCGCTTAGCACCCCTGCTCTGCCCCACCCCTTCTGCCAGCACTCCCTGTTCTGCCCCACCCTTACCACCCAGCACCCCCTGTTCTGCCCCACCCCTTCTGCCCAGCACCCCCTGCTCTGTCCCACCCTTTCTGCCCAGCACCCCCTGCTCTGCCCCACCCCTTCCATTCAGCACCCCCTGCTCTGCTTCACTCTCTCCATTCAGCACCCCTGCTCTGCCTTGCCTTTTTCACTCAGCATCCCCTGCAACTTCCCAGCCCTCATTCACCTCTCTTTCCATCCACGTGTCTTACCCACTCCCAAACTCTTCTGCCACCCTCCCTAGGCCCCAACCTCACCCCACACTAAATATCTCTTTTCTGTGTGTAAGGTGAGGGACTTGGCACCCCTACTTCCATTTGTCTTACTCTCTACCTATACTCTATATACCTCTTAACATGTCCTGGCATTGGCAGAGCTTATAGCACACTGTTGTCTAATGAAAATTAAATCTTAATAAAATTTCTATAGGTTAATTCTTAACAATGAAAACCAAGAACAAGTTTTTGTAGTCTGCTGATGATGTAAAAAATATTCATGGCAGGGTCAAATAGAGTGTTTGGATCCAGTAGAGAAGGTGATGTAATTATCTGTCACAGACACTAAATTCTTATTTTTTTGTAGAGATGGGTCTCACTATGTCACCCAGGCTGATCTCAAACTCCTGGGCTCAAGCCATCCTCTTGCCTCAGCCTCCCAAAAGATGCCTTTCAAAAATCTCTGAAGGACAGTGACTTTGAGCCTAGAGTTCTATAACCATTCAAATCAGCATTTAAACAGAGAGCAAAATATATATATATTGATTTCCAAAGACTAAGGAAATTTATCACCCACAAACCCTTCCTGAAAGAACTGCTTAAGGATGTACTACAACAAAATGAAAAGGGATCTAAGAATGAGGGCTCTGTTATTATCTAATTACTTCCCAAAGGCTCTTCCTCTTAACTCTGGGGCATATCTCACCATGTTGCCCATGCTGGTCTTGAACTCCTGGCATCAACATTACAGGCATGGGATTACAGGCATGAGGCATTGTGCCAGCCTCTCTTGAGGGAAAAGTAAATATATTATGATTTTTAAATTTAGTACTGTAGTAAACCTTTATCCACTACAATGATCCCGTGTCTTCACATTGTTTCTTTCAGGGGCCTATTGTACAAGTAACACTCTAGGATTTCTCTGGATTGCTCTGTTTCTGCAGCCTGGTATCTTCCTCTTTCTTAGATTTATTTTCATTTTGCTGTAGTACATCCTTAAGCAGTTCATTCAGAAAGAGTTTGTGAGTGATACATTTCCTCAGCCCTTAGAAATAAATATATGAATTGTTTGCTCTCCATTTAAATGCTAATTTGAATGGTTATAGAATTCTAGGCTCAAAATCATTGTCATTCAGAGGTTTTCTGTAGGCATTGTTCTTTTCTTTTCCAGCATCTAGTGAACTGATAAAAAATATAATGCCAATATAGTTGTCATTCCTTTGAGTACCCTCTTATTCCTTTTGGGAATTTTTTAGGCAGGTGACTATAAAAGCAAAAGATAGTATATTTTAAAACTTTTTGTCTTTGGAACTGTGAAGTTCCTCCAGGATACTGTTAGATATGGGTATTTTTCCATTCATATGGATAAGCAGTGGGTAAGACTTTCTGTCTGAAGTCATGGTTCTTTAGCTGTGGGAGCACTATTCCTATTTATTTGCTTCTCTCTGTTTTCTTTGTTCTCAACATACAATTCTTGTTGATGGATGTTGAACCTTTTTAGTGGGTCTACAACCTTTAGTGGCTCTTTCAACCTTTTCTCATCAACTTTTTGTCCCTTGCTCTATATTTTGCAAGATCTCCTTGACTTTCTTCTAGCCCTTGATTTTTTTATTTTAGAATTATAGTTTTAAAATATACTATCTTTTGCTTTTATAGTCACCTGCTAGTATTTTATAGATGCTATCACTTCAGATTTCTCTCAGAATATTAATCTGAACTTTTAAAAAGTTACCTCTATTCCATGAACTGTGTTTCTTCTAGGGTATGTTGTATTTATTTATTTTGAACCTGCTAGTTTTATTCAATTATCTTATGATCCTTGGTTGTCCTTTCATGCTTATGAATATGAAGAAGCACGTCAGTTACTTTGTTCTTTTCTGGTACTGTCTCAATCTGTTCAGGCTGTTAGAATACAATAGACTGGGTAGCTTATAAATGACAGAAATGTATTTCTTACAGTTCTGAATGCTTGAAATTCAAAGTCAAGGTGCTGGTAGATTTGATGTCCAGTGAGGGCCCACTTCCTTGTTCTGGTTGTGTTCTTACACGATGGAAAGGACAAGATGTTTCTCTGGGGCCTCTCTTATAATTATACTAGTCCTGTTCATGAGGGTTGTGTTATGATCTAATTACTTCCCAAAGGCCCTACCTCCTAACTCTGGGGCATGTCTCACCATGTTGCCCAGGCTGGTCTTGAACTCCTGGCCTCAAGCAAACCACCTGCCTCGGCCTCCCAAAACATTAGGACTACAGCAGTGAATTACCATGCCCAGCCCATGTTATATTTCCACTGGGCAGTTCTGCTCTGGACTCTTACCCTAACCAATGAAGGAGCTGCATGAACTGTGACTGGCCACCTCCCTAACCTCATCTTCTGTTTTCAGTCTTCCCTTGGCTCATCCTGCCCAGTCACACCAGGTAAACTCTAATTTTGCCTTAGGCATCCCCAGATAATAATTTGAGCACCACTGGGTTACTTGAGTCCTGTAAGAATTGATTTAGTGCGGCCGGGCATGGTGGCTCACGCCTGTAATCCCAGCACTTTGGGAGCCTGAGGCAGGTAGATCATGAGGTCAAGAGATCGAGACCATCCTGGCCAACGTGGTGAAACCACATATCTACTAAAAATACAAAAATTAGCTAGGCGTGGTGGCACGCACCTGTGGTCTCAGCTACTTGGGAGGCTGAGGTAGAATCGTTTGAACCCAGGAGGCGGAGGTTGCAGTGAGCCGAGATTACACCACTGTACTCCAGCGTGGCGACAGAGCAAGACTCTGTCTCAAAAAAAAATGAATTGATTTAGTGCAGCATTGCTCTGCTTCCTGACCACAGTTGTTACACCACTTGACTCAAGTATTGGACCAAAGAGAGGGCTAGGACCCAGTCTGTTGGTTGGGATGAATGTTGTAACTTGGGAGCCATGTTTTTTTTCCTGCCTAGGAAGAAAGCCCATCCCCAGTGAGTTAATAGTGTAGCCAACCTGCTCACAGAACCAGAGGTAAGAGCCAGAGGCAAGATCCTGCCTGTGTTCAAAGCCCTGGTTCTCCCTATTCTGAAGTGTGGCACTTTCCTCTCCTAGTGTTCTGGCCCTCTCTTTACATACTTTATGATAAATCCTGCTTTGGGCTTAAACTAGGTGGTGCTAGATTTCTGTTGCTAACAGAAGAGGCTTGACAAACATGATATCGGTCAAGCCTTTTTTCTTTGGGTAATATCTCAATTTTAACGTTTAAAAAGCAACAAAATTCTGAAGTAAACTGAGAAAGAGCTCAATAATAGACAAGCTTGGCTGTTTAATCCTAATATTAAGACGTTTAGAACAGAGAGCAGTTCAAGTAAGATTTAAGCATTTTAGGTCTTTCTCTGTGACAAAAGCCTGAAAACACTTTTGACAGTGGTGACTCCAAATTCAGCCACTACACAATTAAGCTCCCTGTCGCCCACCCCTACCCCAGGAGATAGCTTTTTTAGCTGCTCAAGTTACCAATACAAACAACATTCCTCAGTTTAATTTCTGCAAGTCACAAAAGACTAGCACTGTTATCTCAAACCTCCACAATATTCAATAAAGGGTTTAGTGGGCCGGGATTCAATGTATTCTCAGTGACCCACAATGCAAGAACTTCCTTCTGCAATTATAAAAGGACTTAATTAGAGCTATAGCCTAGAGATCAGGTTTTCTGAGCTGTATGTACACAATGAATGAGAAAGACACCCTTGCCCACTTACCTTTTTTTAATGTGATTTTTATAAATGTTCATGCTCTAAATAAACTGGTGTTAAGGTTCTAGAAAATTATATAATGAATTAAGGTTGCACTGCCTCAGCCCCAAATATTTTGAATTCACTCCTCTCTAGAGAAACATATTTAATTTTTATTCAAGAACCAAAGGCTTCAGAACAAACATCTCTGAAAAATAGAGGAGAAAAAAAAAAAGAGCCAAAGGCCTTTGAGAAACGAAGTGCCTCTCTTTGTATTTGTGTCTGTCTTAACAATTGCACCACCTCATTGATAGAGATACTCAGATAAGTAAGCAACAAAAGCAGAAGAGTTGCAAAGGTGGGAAACACATTCAAGTTCTGCAACTGGCAACATCAGTAACATACTTAAATTGCAAGCACAACAGTAATAGAACATGATACAATATAGTGGCTCATGCCTGTAATCCCAGCACTTTGGGAGGCTGAGGTGGGCCTATGAGGTTGTGAGTTCAAGAGCAGCCTGATGAACATGGAGAAACCCCATCTCTAATAAAAATACCAAACTAGCTGGGCATATACCTGTAATCCCAGCTACTCAGGAGGCTAAGGCAGGAGAATCACTTGAACCCAGGAGGCAGAGGTTGCAGTGAGCTGAGATCGCACCATTGCATCCCAGCCTGGGTAACAAGACCAAAATTCCATCTCAAAAAAGAAAAAAAGAAGACATGTCCCTTGCTTCTCCTTTGTCTTCCACCATGACTGTAAGTTTGCAGAGGCCTCCCCAGCCATGCAGAACTATGAATCAATTAAAGCTCTTTTCCTTATAAATTGTCCAGTCTCAGGTAGTTCTTTATAGCAGTGTAAAAACAGACTAATACAGAAAGTTGGTAACAGGAGTGGGGTACTGCTATACGGATACCTAAAAATATGGAAGTCACCCTGGAACT